AGAAAGGCTGGTTCGAATTAGGGAAAAAAGTTAATCCCTTGATTCGGCCAAACCTATTATTATATTATTGACTTATTGAAAAAGACTTGAGTGCCCTTCTTTAAGTAAGAGGCACTCGAACTAACATAACAGTACACATCAGCATTCTCAACAAGTACAAAGACTGAAATACCCCTTCACTAACACCACTAACACTATCCAAGAGAGTTCCTGGGTGGTCTCTCCAGGTTCTATAAGAGAAATGACCAAGTGCTGTAAATATATAAAGCTGCATCTTCTGGCCTATCCCCAAAACTAAATAAATACTAGTTGTTTCTATAGATTGTCACCATTCTCTCTTGCTTTCAAGTTATATGCTGTCAAAAGTGTTCAATGAGAATTTACAAAACTAACTATTTACCAAAAAAATGAAAGAATAATACAAAATGTGATTCCCAATAATGCAGATGAATCTTCCATTGTCTTGGGGATGCCCCTGCACTTAACAAAATGTTGTGCATCTGACTTTAACAAATATTTCAACTTCAAGCACAGGATGTCTCTTTACTGTCAAGGAAGAACCCATCCCTATCAACTACATGTCAAGATTTTCTCTATCAAAAGAAATAACTTTATTAATCATGAGAAGAAATGCAAAACTTTCAAAATACGTATGCACATTCAAAAGATGGTGCCATGTCCACAATGATCTTGGAATCCAACAGGAAAGAATCAAAGAAATCATAACAGCAAGAACTAAAAACAAAAAATAATAATAATAAAAAGCTATAAGGATGGTTATCAAGACTAAACAAAAGCTATCAGAAATAAGAAGAACTAAAAACATATAAAGATGAAAAATATTTGGTGAAAATTTCAAGTGGAAACTGACTGGATGCCATTCCTTTGTGACTGGATCTGGACGGTCTCGACCACCACTAGGTGCAATCCATATTATCTGTGATCCACCCCTAGATTCAAATATCTCAATCAGAAAAATGGAAGATTATGATGAGATGGTGGGACAATAGAATGGGTTCCAGAATCTACAGTTAGCCAGTGGTGAACTATAAATGCTTAAGGTAAAGGTGTTTTACATTTAAGATGGAAACTGAAGAAAAAGTCCAGCAAATTTTAAAAATAGAAATCAATGGCTTTTATTTTTCCGATCAATACTATGTAGGTTGGTTTTTTTATTTACTTTCTAATTTATATACAGTTAAATTCTTAGCTGTTTATAAAAAATGGTTTTATAATTTTAATAATAGCTCCTTGTCTCTTAAAAGTTGTCTTATATTAAGAAGAAAGAAAGAATAATATTAGCAAGAACCCCCTTTTGCTAATATTGTTCATTTTTTATTCTTAATAAGGAACTATAATTAAAATTATTAAACCATTTTTAATATATGGGTTAAGAATTTAAGACCCTAAAATGAACTTGTTTGGGCTTGCCTCAAGGGGCTTCGTACAAAGCAGCTCATGGAATTAGAGATTGAAAGTTTCATGTGTTCAAGACCTCAAAAGAATGGGTGGGAAAGGATGGCACACTTGATTTAAAAAGGCTTATGGCAATTGTGGTTTTGTAGTGAAATGGAGGGAACACATACCTCACATCACCAATGGGAATGCCGTTTCTCCCAAGATTCACCATCCCCATGTTTGCAAACCAAACATTACTTAATCATGGCGAATGAGATGGCAAAGAAAGCACCTCCCTGCCAAGAGAGGTCTCATCAAACAAGGTGAGCCATTGCCTCCCCTTCTCTTCAGCCCAGTGGCTGATGTTTTAGTCACCTAATCATTAGGGTCAGTAGGCTGGATTGTTCAAGGGACAAGGTGACACATTGTCACCCTTCTCTTCACCCCCAATGACTGACAGGGCAGTCTCTAGAGGTATCAAAAAAGTCAGGATAAGTTTAAGAGAATGTTAGAAAATCAAGGGGAGTTTTTGATAAAACCCTATTTTTAATTAAAATTTTGAAATTCTGGCCAGCTTGTATAACTTTAGGGAAACTCCAACATAGAGTGGAGTATAGGGCTAATGTAGACTGGAGCAAGGCTCAAAGCACCAATACAATACTAATACACAGCATATCATATTTGTTTTCAGGGTCAGCAATACACCATTATATATATATATATATAAAATGAGTTAACATTTTATTAATCCAGCAGATAAGTGTTACAGGCAACCCAAGGAAAGGCACGAGGTGTGACCTTTCCTTTAAGATTGATCACAGAATTACAAATTCAAATGAACATAAGTTAATTTACAAGGTAGCCCAAAATAAAGAATCCCAAGAGACCCCCCATTTAGCAAGTGAGTCAGCCATCGAGTTTGCTGATCTGCCTACCCACTGGACTCTAACTGTCATATACACCTTATATTGAAACTAGAGTGATTTTGGATGTTTGATAATAATAGCTTATGACCTGTCATGTCAACTGCCAAGAGGTCAGAACAAAAGAATAAAAAAAAACAATGAGTTTTGTTTGATGGAAACTCTTGATACACTTTTTTCTTTTATCAGCAAAAGAATTTTATTGCTTATTTAAATCAGAAGCTTAATACAATTGTTATAGCAATTCACCAGCCCATATTATATCTGATTACAACTTTGCCCAAAATAAAAGGTCTATCAGCCCCTTCTTTTAACATCCGCCATCCCATTTGCAGTTCTTACCTAGCTGAATTTAGAATTAAACCTCTTTCTAGAAGATCAATTTCCCTAAAAGTATATCTATATTTTCAAGGTGCTGAGTTGATTTGCTAGGTCCATGAAATGACAAATTGTGAATCTCACTCCTTGTAAAAGAGCCATTATTTCAGGCCGAACCGAGACTCCGATGCCAATTGGTCCTAAAAACAAAGCCACTACCACTCCTTGGTGGTTTCTAAATACCCCCCCTATACTTGCCCTCCCTGGATTGCCCAAAGAGCTGCCATCAAAGTTCAACTTCAGCTTATATATCTCTGGAGGCTTCCATTCCATTCTTACACTTTCTTTATGTCTATCTGTTTGTGCCACTTCAGTTCATTTCCTAATCATGTCATTGGTTGAGACATCCCAAAATTAGATGAGCTCCAATATCTTAATCCAATGTGCAACCCTCACCATTATGGCTTCGATCATTTCCTCCTACAACTTACTCTTCTCATTAAAGATACTTTGGTTTCTTTCTTCCCAAATAGTTCATTGCAAGGCTACTCTTACTGCCCTCCACAAAAATCTTCCTCTTTTTTCTATTGCCTCAAGAAGTTGAAGTTGAACAAACTCACCACACAGGACCCATCTGCAACCAACAAGAGAGTGCAAGACACAAAAGAGCAGGAGATTAATAAACAAGGAAGGGTCTCATCACTAGCCTTACAAAGGATACACACATGAGGAGAGATGCATTTGTTAGGCCTTCTTTTCTGTAGCACATCACAGGTGTAAGTTTCAAAGGAAGACTTCCCAACACAAAGATTGTACTTTAGGAGGGATAGGTTTGCACCAAATTTCTTTCACTAGGAAGTTCACCCCCAAAGGTTCTAAAAGAAAAAGAAGGTTGAAAAAGGAAGCACAAGAGAAAAGGCCATCAGGGGAGGGACACCAAATTGTACCATCAGAGTTTTGATCCAAAAAGACCTTTTCCAATATTGATAGTAGGAGAACAAGAATCCAACTCATTATTTAAACCCATTTCTGAATCCAAGATCCCAATCCAAACCATGTTTTGAGGGCATACCAAATCTAGAAACAGGTTCAGCCTTGTAGTTTGATGAAGAGTATAATACCGGAAATTGCAATCTAAGGGGCAAGACCCCAATCCAAAGATCTTCTCAATAAGACTCTACCCCCACACCCCACATCAAAACGAATGAAATTGAGAAACGTTGGTATTACCTCAATTATTGCTTTCCAAGGGGAGCTTGACGAAGCATGAGATGCCAACTTTGCATCTCAACCATTTTCCACCATACCACGAATGCTTCCAATGACTCCATGCTACAGCCTCTCTCCTTCTAGAGGAAACAGCCAAAGTCATTTTCCTAGAAGAGTTGTATTCCCTTAATCAAATTCCCAATGGCCAGTCCACCTTGTTCCTTAGACTTACACACTTGTTCCCATTTTACCAAGTGATCCTTCCTTTTTATCTCCCAGTTCCCACGAGAAATCTATTATTATTTTTTCTAACAGCCTTGCTATGTTAACCAGAATTCCAAAGGTAGACAGCTAATAAGTATGCAGATTGGCTAGGGTGGATTTGATCAAAGTGATTCTTCCTCCCATAGAAATGTAGCTCCTCTTCCACATTGCTAACCTTCTAGCAAATCTTTCTACAATTTGTTTCCAAAAACTCTTATTCTCGAGTTACCCCACAAAGGCAAGCCAAGGTATTCTGGGGGTCAATTTTTAACCTCACAACCTAGTATTCCTGTCATCAATTGAATGTCTCCCTCTCCCATGTTAACTCCCACCACACAACTCTTTCCCCAATCCACTTTTAACTTTGAGATCCTTTGGAATCCATCAATCAAGTCTTTTAAATTCCTCAAACGAGATTCATTACCAATCCTCACAAAAAATGATTATACCATTTGCAAATTGCAAGTGAGCCACAACAACCTCATTTCTACCAATTCTCAAGCCTTTAATCAGATTGTTTAGATTAGCTTTAATGATCAATCTGCTTAAGCAACAAAAGTGAAAAACAAAGGGGAGATGGGATCTCTTTGCCTTAGACCTCTTTTAGCCGGGAAGAAATCCTTAATGACTCCATTTATCAGAATCAAGAAATGTTTTGAACTAATACAACTTTTAATCCATTTTCTCCATCCCTCCCAACTTCTTTACTGCCATGCACTCATTTGCTACTAGGATTTGGTCCACTATTTGTCTCTCTTCTACAAAAGCTCCTTGATTTTGGGGTATTACCAATGGCAAAATAGTCTTTAACCTTTGTACCAAGACTTTGGCAATGATTTTATAAAGGCTACCCACAAGACTTATAGGACTATAGCCCTTTGGAGTTTTAGCCTCATTTTTAGAAACTAGGGCTAAGAAGGTGGCATTTGGTCCCGGTGAAATTTTCTCTTTATAATGAAACTCAAAAAATACATCAATCAATTCATCTGTTATGAATTCCCAACAAGACCTGGAGCTTTAGATCTTTCAATTGCAAAAACTGCTTTATGAACCTCTTATGCATTGAAGTTTCTTTCTAAGAGGGCTTCTTGGGTTTCAGGTACACTATTCCAATCCAACTCCCCCACATCAAGGTTCCTTTCTCCTAAGCAGATGAAGATCGATTTAAAATGGTCCATAAAACTCTTGACAATTTCCTCCTCTGTAGTTATCACCTGACCTTCAATCTTAATGCTAGGAATCAGTTTTGTATCACCATCTCCTCTAAAAGCCATTTACATCTTGACTTTTGTCGCCCAGAGATTTTTTTCCTCAAAACCTCTTCTAATTCCACTTTTAGGCTCCACCTTTCTGATCTTTCCTCCACACTACACTCTCTTCGGGCCTCCTTTTGGTTTAGCAGCAGCTCCTCTATCCTTTTAACAATTCTCTCTTTTGATTCTTATAATCTCCCAAATTCTTCTTTGTTCCATTCTTTGACTTTTTTTTCTTTTAATCTCTTCAGTTTCTTCATGAATCTCACTCCTCTATTCCTTACATTGATTCCACCTTCCATCCACCATTCTTTTATTTTATCAATGAATTTTAGAATTTCCAAACACATGTTTTCAAATCTAAAAGGTTTGGGGCCGCCAAGAAGGGTCTCCTGGTCCACGCAAGGGATAATGGTATAAGGTTACGAGGTTACCCTAAGGAGTGCTTTCATTGGAGCACACTTGGTTTCCTTGAAAATTGAACCAGGAAAAGCTTATAACCGGGGGGGGGTTGTTCTTTCAGCTCAAGGTTCCTTTCTCCTAAGCTTGAGCCACGGACTGGAGGAATGAATATAAATAATAAAAGTAACAATTATACCTTAGAAGCTTTGCCATCTCCTTCAAAGTCCTGGTATTTGCTCGCTTTTTCATCTCAGCCAACTCAGGAACATCATACATGTGCTTTTTTGAATACACACAAAAAAGATTCCTGAATAAATAGAAATTAAAATATTTATAACTCATAAGAATTAAGTAATTGGCTTATTATCATGCATATCAGAAAGCTTAATAAGCACCTCCCCATGCTGAAGGGCTTGCAGAGAGGATCTGTTACAACTCTATCTCCAGCAACATATATCTGTGGAATAAGGAGGAAAGCAATTAATTCATGGAAGGTACTTACCCAGCATCATTCTGCAGGAATACCATATAGAAAGATTAAGTAATACCATGTTCTCAGCAATATGTGGATTTGTCTTCTCCAGCAACAATGCAATAATAACTGGATCTGCTTCTGTCTGGTGGTTGGAGATCAAGACAACATTGTGACCCTACATTCCATCACAGGCAATGAGTATGTGCAGAAAAAAGAATGAACGGAAAAGGTGAAAATTGTTGAATAATTTTAAAAAATAAAATAATGGAACTTCCAGACCAATAAATGTAGTCGATCACTAAGGTTCAACTCTAAATTTAATCAATGATTTGCAAGTGTTCAACTATCATTGAGGAGAACAAATCATATGCAATAACATGTAGAAAAGACTCCCAACTATCAGAGTTTTTGTTCAGGTTATTGCCCAACCACCAGCAATTGTTATATCAGAACCACAGCCCATAGATTTAAGGAAACTCCAGTACCACTTAAAGCAATTGAAAAATAAATAAATAAATAAAGCACTAAACCAAGGTAGACATAAATCTGCTAATTTTTAGGCCACTTCTGTGTACGACACTTTGTTAAAGCACTTAGGCTTTATCAATGCAAGTAAACTTTCTTACTTGCAAAATATCCAACATACAACCAACGTTCAAAATATCGACATCTTTAGCCACTTTTTTTATTCCTTTCTTTGGTATTTTTCCAAACCAGTTCAGGGGAATCAGTTTAAGGCCTGTCTACCCCCTGAAATAGGTCAGACCCCAAAGCACTTAGTATAGGGGCATAGCATAGGGTCACTGATACAATATGTATCGGCCGATATGCCCCCGATACATGACGAAATTTTAATCCTTGCATACAACCACAAAACTACTGACTGAAGTTAGTTACCTGCTGAAGCTTTTTTTCCACATCACTGAAGATGGAGATGTTGCCAATGTATGATCTCCTAAAGACAAAAAGAGCTAACTTCAGAAAAGACTTAGAGAATAACATAAGGTGGAATACATGTCAATATCAATATACACCTCGATATGAAGGAAGGGGTATATCGGTACTTTGAACCTTCGGCCTTTTTTTTAGTTTTTTATTCAAAATTTAAAGAGAGGCTGCATTTAATGTTTATTACCGTTTAAAACAACTCAAATTGCTTGAAGCAGCATGTTGGTACCCTGCTGATACAATATGTATCGGCTGATACAAACCAATATGTTGCAAAATCTTATTCCTTGTGTGTATCGGCCGATACACACACACAACTCAAATTGACCAAATGATATGATGTTCAGAACAGCAGTGTAGTATTGCACAATATTAAAATAATGATGATGATAAAGAAAGAAACAACTGCAAAACACTAGAATTCTTTTTCCTTCCAGTGAATGAATGTTAGATTGATTACCAAAGTTTGCAATCTGGCCAATATTATTCATAACATAACATCTAGATAATATGTAATGTCTTGCCTTTTTTGAATGAACCCTAGGGTAAGCAACTTGGAGAACTTACATATCATTGAGCTACTTTTCAAACCATGCCAACAAATGGAACTAAGACATCAACACAACAAAGCATTGGCCAACCTGAAATCAATCAATGGCCTAATATAATTTTGGCCGAACATGTAGTAGTCAAAAGGCTCCCTTATTGCTTTGTGGTGTGGTGAAAATACAAAAGGATCCTGCAAATGTTTAGCACCATCATACAAGACACATAAAATTTGAGCAATGCCATCAAATAAGCCCCTTGGGTCACAAAGGGACAAATCTTAACATCCCATAACCCCTTCACTTGCACAAAGTTTCAGGTTCAAGTTTTGTGCTTTTGTGGTTTAAGGAGCTTAGGACAGCCTAGCATTGCTCACAAAATTTTCATGTGAAATATCTTCAGAGAATCTGCATCATATAAAACAAATTTGACAGTAAATAAACATATAAATGAATTTTACCTCTACATCCAACAACATACGATCAAATGCAACAGCCATGTTTGACAATATGATTTCATCTGCCCTGGGATCCCCACCTTGAAGAACCTGAACATAGAATCACACACACACACACACACACAATAATCATTTAGAAAGAAATATAATGGCAAACAGCCTATTCTAATTTGAAATTTCAACTGGTTACCATATCAGAGAACCAAGATTATCAAAAAGCTCCATAGTTTTGTTCATTTTACTCAAACAAATTGTTTCCAAATAGATACTTTATAATGAAGGTGGACCTTGATGCAATGGTTGGGTTGTTCCATTGCAACCTGGGTGACCAGGGTTCAAATATTGGAAACAGCCTCTCTATGTATGCATGGGTATGATTGTGTACATCTGTCCCTCCCCAGACCCTGCATTGGCAGGAGCCACGTGTGCTGGGCTGCCATATATAGTAAATGATTACAAAATAATTTCAAAGGGATAGCTCAATGGACCAGACCAAAAGCAAGAAGGAAGAGCAAGGGATCTGACGACCCTCTAAACCCAGCCAACAAAACCCAACACCCTCAACACAACCAACAGAGACAAAAGGACCCAAAACCAAAAGGCAAAGATTAGAACCCAACAAACACCCTTACAACACCACTTTTTTGCCTCTCCCCCCTCCCCCCCTAACATGGATACAATAAGTGCCCCTAGCCCTAGATGGCTACATTGCACTACCACATCACTATAAAATTTCAATAAACTTTTGGCTTTCCTACAACCTGGTAAGCAATCTAGGCTATTACAATTTGAAAGACCAATTAGATTGACAGAAGCTATTTCCTCCAATAGATACTCAACTGCTCTTCCCTGTCAATAGACACACAACCCGAGAGACAAAAACTCTCACCCCAGAACAAATAACCACAAATAAACAAAACTCACCCTGAGCAAGAAAGCCTCAGGAAACTCCAACAACAAGCTCAACCCCAATGCTAGAGAAACCAGATTCCCATATGCCCAAAAAGAAGCAATAAAACAGATGTACCACCAACCACCCAAAATGGCAAAGCAGGAGAATTCTACTTCATCCTCAATGGCTTCAACACCTTCTTATTTGGTCCAATCCCAAATAAACCTCTTTTCAATCTAGAAAAGACACTTGAAACCAATACATCTTGGTGCTTCCTCTTCCTTCTAGATCTGCTAACTGCTAGAGAGGTCTTCCTAAGATTCCTTGCATCCTCAAATTCCTCATTGATTCCCTTGAACTCTAGTATTGACTTCTTCTCAAATAGTTGGCTTGCCTTAGAGACCTCATTCTTTTTCTTGACAGATTCATTCAAACCATACAAAAGCAAAAAATAATAATAATAATAATTGTTTCGAATGCAGCTACAGTAACCCAAACCAGGAGAGAAGGAAGAAGAAGATGAAGAAGAAGAAAAGAGAAAGAGAGAACAGGAGGGTTTAGTCAAAACTGATTCATTCACTGTTCATTTGACCCCCTAATGTTTATTAGGTTCTAATAACCTTTAAAAAGACTAAACTGCCCTTACTTAAGTGTGGGCAGAGAATCTCTAATAAAACTGCCACATAAGCAAGGTACTTAATAAACATGRGATGACTAAACTACCCCTATTCGGCTCACTTTAACACTCCCCCTCAAGTTGGAGAATATATGTCATATAATCCCAGCTTGTTACATA